CCCTGGCGCCGTTCCCCGCCACCCCCCCCAACCCCGCCATCCCCAACATTGTCAACACCGCGGGGGTTGCCACTACCATTGTCGACTTGGAGACATCCGTTGTCATTGCACGGTCATCGTGCATCTATCATGCACTTGTCCCTGTTGCCCCGTTCCCCCCCCCCTCCCCACGCTGTCCATCCGCGGTTTTCGCAGGCCTCGCGATTATTTTCTCGGGTAGTGACACCAGTGTAGATTTTTCCTGCACATTCAGTAGTCATTTTTTCGGGCGCGACAGTGGGCACAATTTTTTCGATGCATTCTAGTGGCCATGGACCTTCTCTCGGGCGGGCGGGCTATCACCAGATCTTTTCGACAAAATATCTCGTTGTCATTTGTTCGGTTCCTGAAATTTTTGGCACATTTTGGTGATCGTGTCCTCATCCACACGCGTGTGATTTTTCGACAAGAAGCACAGGCAGAAGTATCCCACACACATGTTGTCGGCGTCCGCATAATTCTCACAGCCAGCATACTGGTGGCACGACATATGCATGCTTCGAAGGCTCGGTAGGTCACGATATTCATTTTTAGTGGTAGAGGAAGTGTCGGAAAAGCGACGTTGCACTGCCATCGAAGGCTTAATCACACGGTTTCGAAGGACATCAACGCATGTTTTCGACACAAAGCAAAGATAAGATGCTAGGCTGCCTGTGCCCAAAGACATTTTCCTCTAATATACGGGCAGAGGAAACGGGAAACTCCGACCATCCGTACTTCAATAATTTCCAAAATGCTTACGTTTTTGTGAGCGTGATCACAAGCGACGACAACGCTTGCCACACCATAGAGGGTTGCTGATGAACCCCCATGAGCCTGGCTGTGGTGAGGTGAGTGGGAGAGGGGGGGAACTGCTGCAACTTGGGGTCGAATCTTAGTGGATCGTGATAACAAATGTCACTCTGTCACATACAATGTCCTATCACAAATTAAGTCGTCTGTGAAGGATTCTGCTTATTACCCGTTCGAAACTGCAATTCAGGTCATCCTTACCAGTCATCTATGTGACTGACACAATGCGGCTCATTTCATGCCCTCGGCCGACACGACGCAACCCATATCATGTGTTCTTGGGGGTTGAGGCCCCTACTTTTGTTTGGTTGGCAAACGAAAAGCTCAGACGTCACATTTTTAGCGTGAATTTTGATTTAGAAATGTTCAGTCATAACTTTGCACACGGTAGCTTTGCGCCCCTGGCTTTTCAACTAAGTACAATGACCAATTATGTGAATCAACAATTTCTTTTTTTTTCAACTAAGTACAATGACCAATTATGTGAATCAAATTTCATCTCGGGTAGTGACACCAGTGTAGATTTTTCCTGCACATTCAGTAGTCATTTTTTCGGGCGCGACAGTGGGCACAATTTTTTCGATGCATTCTAGTGGCCATGGACCTTCTCTCGGGCGGGCGGGCTATCACCAGATCTTTTCGACAAAATATCTCGTTGTCATTTGTTCGGTTCCTGAAATTTTTGGCACATTTTGGTGATCGTGTCCTCATCCACACGCGTGTGATTTTTCGACAAGAAGCACAGGCAGAAGTATCCCACACACATGTTGTCGGCGTCCGCATAATTCTCACAGCCAGCATACTGGTGGCACGACATATGCATGCTTCGAAGGCTCGGTAGGTCACGATATTCATTTTTAGTGGTAGAGGAAGTGTCGGAAAAGCGACGTTGCACTGCCATCGAAGGCTTAATCACACGGTTTCGAAGGACATCAACGCATGTTTTCGACACAAAGCAAAGATAAGATGCTAGGCTGCCTGT